TTCTCCAGCTTCTCCGTCTTGGTGCCGTCGTGCTTCATGATGGTGCGGATGCGGAACAGGGAGACGAAGCCCGCCAACAGGAACGAGGTCCCGATGAAGAGGTAAACAAACAACGGGGCCAGGACGAAGCCTCGGAGGGCGTCCACGCTGTTGATGCCGACGAAGCAGACCCCGCTCAGCACGTCGCCGTCCACCTGCCCCACGGCCAGGATGGTGATGGTCTTGATGGCCGGGACCGCCCATGCCGCCAGGTGGAAATACTGGGAGTTCGCCTCGATGGCCTCGTGGCCCCATTTCATGCCCGCCGCGAGGAACCAGGTGAGCGCCAGGATGACCCACCAGATGGAGCTGGCCATGCTGAAGAAGTAGAGCATCATGAAGAGGATGGTGCAGCCCTCCTTCTTGGTGCCCTGCACCACAGTCCTGATGTCGTTGTCAAACCGGTCGTTGCAGACCACCTTGTCCTCCAGTAGAAACCCAGCGATGTAGGCGATGGACACCATGGTGTAGCAGCCGGAGAGGAAGACAATGGGCCGCTCCGGGTAGCTAAAGCGCTTCATGTCCACCAAGTAGGTCAGCACAGTGAATAAGGTGGAAGCACAACACAGCACGGACCAGATCCCAATCCATATCCGGGCGAATTTGAGCTCCTCCTCGCTGAAGTACATCATCCCGTGAGATCGCTTCGGCTCGCAGGGGGCTCCGCAGTTCTCCTGCCCGAGGAAGCGGTAGTTCAGGTAAGGGGGCACCCTGAGCGAGGAGGGGCACCTGAACTGCCCGCTCGCAAAGTCCGGCAGTGGGCGCTCGGTGGGGTACGCGCTGGGGGTGTCGGAGTCAGCGCGGTCCGACATGTTCTGCCCGACGCACAGCTCCCCGGCGCCGTGCACCGGGAAGGACTCGCAGGCGAGGCTGTCGGGCCACTGGAACCCGAACTTGTTCATGAGCGCCTCGCAGCCCTGCCGCGCCCGCTCGCACAGAGAGCGGCACGGCGGCAGCGCCTGCTCCAGCACCGTGCACACCGGCGCGTACATGGAGCACAGGAAGAACTTTAGATCCGGGGAGCACTGCACTTTGACCAGCGGGTAGAACTGGTGCACCTCCAGCCCGGCGTCCTCCTGGTTGGTGTGGCCGAGCAGGTTCGGCATGATGGTCTCGTTGTACGCGATGTCCGTGCACAGCGGGATGGAAATGGGCTGGCAGAATCCGTGCTCCGGTATAGACATTCCTCGGTCACCGCCGCCGCCGTACTGCCCGTTCACTCGGAAAATCCCCACGTTTAGGAAGAGGACACAAAAAAATAAAGACAAAAGCGCACGGAAGAGTCTGTTGTGCGCCATGGCGAGGTCTCTATCCGCCGCTTTACTTTGGATTTGTTGCTAAACTAACTTACGTTTCCTCGCCAGGCAAGCAGCCTACTTCCTTGAACGCTCTTTGTTGGCGTTTCTTTGAGAGGAAAAAAAAAGCAGCTTCTTCCACCGGGATTTCACCGATTCTTTTTTTTTTCTCACAGTGCCGAGCTGATACACCTAATGTGGGGAAAACCCCCAAAATGTTTTATTTTTATTTTTTAAATTTACTCCACTCCGTTCTCCAGTTTGGTTGCAGAAAAACACACAGCGTCCTCCTTCAGGGAGAAGCTGCTCCAGTCTCTTCAGTCTGCCAGTAACAGCGTCAGTCTGCCGTTCAAACCTGTTCTGCTCTCTCTCTCTCTCTGACGCGCTCACACAACAAGGTCAAGTAAAACACCAGGCATGAGCGCTTCCGGCCAAACCTTCCAGAATAAAAGTCCTCCAAGCAGCAATTTAAAAACAGGTGGTAACACGAACACACTTAATGTTATTTTAAACACATACATTCATGCTCATTCATCTTTATGAGCATCAAAAGCAAACAAGACCATCTGTGGACACACTGACATATTATTCATTAATTTATATTCAATGTTTGAAAGGTGTCATAGTTAGTTATTTAATATTTTAATGGAAAATAACAGTAACTTATGTGTTTGACAGTTACAAGGGAGAAAGGTTGAGCTTTTTCATCTGAAACCCACAAACATGAGTAGGACAAGATTAACAAAGATAGTTACCCTTTGTCCACAGGGGGCACCAAAATGAATGCTTTATAGAATACAATAGAATAGAATACAATAGAATTACTTTATTGATCCCAAACTGGGAAATTGTGGCGTTACAGCAGCAGGTTATCCAAACACACAATATGAGCAAATCTAAACACAATATAATATTAAATACAAAGTAATAAGCACTAAAAATACCAAAACTAAGAATGGGAATATATACAACCAGGATTTAACTTAGCATTACTAGTCTTAAATATGAAAAGATTAAATGTAAATGTTCAAAAAACAGAGTTGTAAATGGACAGTATTGACATAGGGAGCTGTGCAATCAGTGAAACTATAAGTTAAAGTGCATGAGTGTAGACATCAGCTAATCGTCATTTATCATGACGTGGGACATTATGCAATCTCTCTCTCTCTCTCTCTCTGTCTTGTTTTCATTATTTTTAAATATATTTTATTGTTTCCATGCCGCCCTTTTGACAACTGAGTCCTGTAAGAAAAGAGAAGTTTGCTGTCAGTCGTGAAAAGCAATTAAAAACAGTGTAAAGTTATCAAGACGTTATTTGTGGTGCGTTCAGTTTGTCTGTATTTGTAAAGTTCTGTGAAGAAAAAGATCAACATTTTTGCTACATACAATCCTTCAGTGAAAAATGAACATCAACAATTAAACTCACATTTTTATATATTTAATACAAGTTAAATAAACACACTCAAATTAAAGAAAGTATTTCAGGTGCATAATACGATGAAAAATACTGGGATTTCTTTGACAAAAACAAAAAATGATCCAAAAATAGAAATGTTTTCAAGCTAAATGAATAAAAAGAACCAACAACGAACAAATATAATTCAGAAAAATATAGAATCAATTATTTTTTAAATAAGTTAATAATAGTCCTGCCCTAATGTGGCAATAAACATGGAGATAGAACGACTCCAGCTTTGTTTCAAATAGTGCTAACTTGACATGTTGAGAAAAGCTAAAATGCAGCTGCACGGACCTACTTCCTGTTTCATATGCCTCACTGTGACTAGCTTTACATCTCTTTCCCCTCCCTCTCCCTCCCTCTCTCTCTCTCTCTCTCTCCCTCTCTCTCTCTGTGTCTCAGATGTAGTTTGGGGGTATGGAGGACCTGGGTTCTCCCTAATGTTTGCCTGTATTGCAGCGGTTCATTTCAGTTCACATCAGCACTGATAGTGTTCTGAATGTAAGAGACTTTTGATCACATTCTTCTTCTGCAGTTCTCTGTGTTATTGGTGTCCACTAATTTTAGAAAGTGGGTGAATGTCTGGCTGAGATCTAAAGGGTCTGTGATTATGGAGGTGAATCATAGAGTGATTCTACATTTCTTAAATATATTTCAGAAAGGACAGAAGGCGTTTCATTAATTTATAGGTATACCGTAAAACTTCAAATAAAAGCCAATCCCATTTTAAGTCCCAGTCCCTTTTACTAGCCCGGTGTTGCCACACACACGTTTATGCTGACAGTCCCAAAAAATGATCTAAATCCATGGTTCTCAACTGGTGGGTCAGGACTCAAAAGTGGATCGGGACGTGGTTTTCTTGTATGCTGAGGGGGGAAAAAAGTGTATTCTGCACTTTTATTTTAAAGAACATGTGTAACAGGGTTTATTCACGCTCAGTGGGTGATGGTAGGTGGTGGGGAGGCACTTAAACACAGGTCATCTGCCATTAAACGACAAGAGAAGAAGACCAGGTATAAAGTTTGCTCAGGTGGTCTTACATTGAGGACAAAAAGGAACAACAAAAACCTGAATGTGTGGTGTGCAGTGAAATGCTGCCACATTAAAAAGCATGGTGCCATCAAACTGAATCAGCACTATAAATGAAACTCTCTGCTCATAAAGACAAACCTGTTGGCTCTTTTCAATGTCGTGTTTTCTGATGTCGGTAATCTCTGATGTTTTGTTACAGCTCTCCAAACTGATGAAATGTTTCATTAAATACATTTTAATGGTTGCAAATGTTCAGAAATGTTGGTTGCCATTTGTCATTTAGCAGGTGTTGGAAGGTCCTGAGGCTAGAACAGCTGAGAACCACTGATTTAAAACACAACAGTAAAAAAATGTTTCATAAAGGGCAGGAATTTGAAAATAACTCCTAAAAAAAATAACAATATATAATAGTGTGTAAGGCTGTAGGTACAAACTATGTTCTTAAAGGAAGAATGTGCAATATTTCACACATAAATAAATCAGAAATCAAGTATATCCTGAGTCATGACTGTCTACAATGAGTGAGAAGTGTGAGTCCTGCCAGCTGTATTGTTGTCAGTGCTGTGTTTACATCATGTTTACATCATGTTTACATGGAGGGACGGCCTTGTGTATGAAGCTGTTTTAGTCAAGACTAGAGAAAAGAAGAATAACATACTCACTGATTATTTGGATGTCTCATAAGTCTTTTTAGATTAAGGGTCATTCTGTGTAAATTCATGTTCAATATGAAGGTAAGAGTTAACTAAAGTGTGCTAACATTAGCATGCTAACACAACAATGCAGAACACAGGCAACTGCAGCTCGAGCAGCGGACAATTTCGTCCACTTTGTGCTTAATGTGTGTTCTTATTCAGAACTCCTTTGTGCAAAGGCGAGGGGAGAGGGGTTGGAGGTGTGCCGCTGGAGGAGAGAGGAGGCTTCAGAATAGCGGAGGTGTCACCTAACAGCAGTTTGTTTTGGTTTAGTGCTGATGCTCAAGTGCGACATCTACTGGATCAAAAAGTTGGATATTCTTCCTTTAAAGTTTTACAGCACAGCCTGCGTTTTAGGCAGCTGGTGATCCAGGAAGTCAGCCCTCCCCTCCCCTCGCCTCCATGACATCCCAAATAAGAGCAGGAACAGGTGGATAAAAGGACAGCGTAAGATGACACACATTCAGTCACAGAGCAGTCTGAAGCATTAATAAATTTTATTTCAGGTAAAACAACATTAAACAACATTTACAGAAGGACATTACATCTTCCATAATAACATTACATACAGGTTGTAACAAATAATGCAACAGCTATTCTACTGTATAATATATTGTTTCACTTAATGAAGTGGCTGATGACACTTCTGTTTTCCAAACTACTTGTGAGAATGATATATTTTCAGTGCAGCATACAAAAAACGAAAAATAAAAACGTAAGAGAAGCTTTGTTGGAAAAAAAACAACAACACAGATTTGTTATTCAGTACAGAGAGGATGCACCTCGGATCCAACCTATACGTCCTTCTACTGATACCACATCATACAGAATGACAAAAATAGATGCCTTATATTTAATATCATCACATATGTATATTCATATATGATTTCTCTTTGTAGCATTAAGGGGACATCTGCAACCCTGTATACACACATAGTGGAAGCATCACTATTTCACTTCATTGGAGGCGTGTCTCCGCCTCACCACCTTCTCCTCTTTTGATATTCTTCTTTTCTTTACTGTCACAGTGCTACGTGAGCAACTCCACATACCGTAAAACTTCAAATACAAGCCCATCCCAATTTGAGGTCCAGTCCCTTTTACTAGCCTGGTGTTGCCACACAAATAAAGGCCGCTCTCAGTAAGAGGGCTCCTGTGCATTTAGTCTTTATACAACATGCAGGTTGGATTGGGTGGGCTGTCTTAAGGCCCTGAGACACCAAGCAGACGGCAAAGAACTAGTGACAATGAAGGCCGACTGTGGCGTTCATCTTGGCCAAAGAGTTGCACTTGAACACACCGCAAAGACTAGAGCCGACGGAAAAACCATCATGTACGTTATGCAAATGCGGTAGTCCGTTGTTGTGATACGAGAAGACCATTTTCACACCGCTGTCGCGCACCACTTTGTATCATAAATAGTCTACTAATGGAGAATAATGTCTGATAAAAAGTTGAAAATGGCGCTGGCGTTGTCAGCTCTTGGTCTTTTAGTGGAAAAAGAAAAGAAGAGGCGGAGGCGACAAATAAGGAGAAACCGCACTAATGGGTGAAAGCATGGATACTACAGCGGCATGCTGTAGGGGAGTTAAATGAACCCTCCGAACAGCCAATCAGAGTGATTCCTCTCACCAACCATGCCAATGCCGACTGACGCCGATTCATTATGTCGAATCCAGGCCAACTGGAGCTGGACACACCGCAAAAACTAAGGTGACGATTGCTCACTGTCGGTCCAACTCGGACTGACAGCCGATGATTTCCTTGGTGTGTCAGGGCCTTTACAAAGCAAGAAATCCTAATTCTTTGCACAGTCAAATCTTATTTTGAAGTTAATTTACAAGTCTTTCCTATTTTTGTTTGAAGATGACTAGAGGTCCGGCTCGTAGTGACGCCCATCCCAACTACAAGGTCATTTTATAGACTGAAGTGAATTAAAGCCTGGGCTGTGACTTAAAGTTTTACGGTAGTTTTCCGTCTCTGGACTCTATCCGAAAGATATGAAGAACATTCAAGTTTGAACAGAGTGCCTTCAGGAGCTCTGCCCACACAGAACTCAAAAAAATATATGTTTTCTTTTTTTTTTTCTTTTTTTTGTTTACAAGACTGCAGGCTGCCAAAGCTCCAAAAAAAGTCACACAGTTGAGGGGGGGGGGGACGGAGCGATGTGTGCCACACCACAAAAAGTGTGCAAAAGAAGAAACATCCCAAAAATAATTATTCAGCTGCTAATACTGCCTGCAATCCCTTAAAGCCACACGAGGCTGGGCAATCTTAGCACAGCTCCATGGTATTAACCCTCTTCTGTCACGCTGCTTTACTGGCATTACCCACCCCCTCTCCTCCCCTTTTCTCCGTCGCACAATCACAGCCTGGGGATGACACTGAAAAGCTGCGAGATAACTTCAAGTACAGCTTCTTTTTTTTTGAAAGCACTCCTCAATCTGCGGTAACGATTGAAAATAAGGGACCATATTTACATTTGTCAGGAGGGCCAGTTTGCTTTTTTGGTTTGTTGGGCAAAGCAAGGTTACGTATAAATATTTATTTATTTGTCATTAAGGGGGAAAGCAAGTGCATAAAAGTGGCCACACAGACTGGAATGTAGGGCAAACTGATTTTCTCTTTAAAGTGCAGTTTTAAAAAAAAACGCTATCGGGGAGAGTCGAGCCCGTCATTATTTATTTTGGCTCAGAGCCACGGCTGTCCTTAGTTAAAGAAGCTGGAGCGGTACACAGTCATGGTGAAACGTCAAAGCCTTCTATTTATCACTTTCCCTCTTTGAAGGATAGGTTTAGATGTGTTTGTTTTTCACATTTGTCTGTAAGAGTTAACGGGTGCAACAATCATCTCTCTGTACATGAAGTGACTACACAGTAAAGATGAGTCCTGGGAGGTTAAAGGTCACACACAACCAGAGAGTTAGAAGACTAATCTCTGTTTATCAGTTCATTTAGCCTTGTCAAGCCAACATGCTAACACCTGGTCACCATGACCTGGTGAGCTGCTAGATGCTCGGCCATGAGCGCCATGCAGCCAACATGTTTGTTTGAAATGGAAAGAGATGAAACAAAGAAGTCAACTTTCTCTGAAGTATTGACTGTGTGCTACCTAGAACCTTTTGGTTATTCACTTCAGAGTTGTTTTATTAGAAATGATGCCACCGCTTCCTCAAGGAACTTACTTTTTCTGAGCCGAGTTTGAGGAATACTCAGGTCACTTATTGAACTTCAAAATGAACTAAGCCTCCATTAACTGCTTTTTGAGTTTTCACTAATCAGTAACAAGTGTTTTTACAGTCTTATAAGATGAGCCTTGATAGACTCGTTTTTAGGTTGAAATCAACAACATGTCAAACAACGGCTAAATGAAATCAACATGGACATCCCATTCAAGCTGCCTTAGAAATGCAAGTCCTTTTTTTTTTTTTATCTCTCCCTCCTTTTTTTTTTTACCAGTGGTCCTACACTCAGAAATATGCATCTGCCCCTGTAGAGTCAGATCTGCAAATACAGGTCAAGTTATTCATAAGAATTACCGTAAAATCTGTAATACAGGTCACCCCAGTAGATTAGACAAAGTCTATTTTTGTCTCCCAGAGGAAACAGAGATTTAAAGGGTTGTTCTTCAGGGAGTGGACTTTGCATTCAGCAAACTTGTATGGCGTCCATTCTTAAATTGTCAACGTCTTCCAATGTTACAATTGGCCTCACAGAGGAATCAAAACCAGAATCTTTCAGAAATCTCCCGTGTTTTAATGATCCCTCCATGACCATCACATAAATCATCTCTCCACTTTCCTACTACGTCAACTCGTACCTAGCTCCTCATTGGACGAGTTGGGAGTCAGAAGGGGTAGAAAACAAGATGATTTAAGTTCTGGTCATGTGGCTCTTGATGAAATATTTGTCAGCATATCGCTTATCAACGCCCAGATAAAGACAATCAGTGTATGAACCTTCATACTATCCCATGTTGACCTTCAGAAGCGTTGTGGCTCAGAGACATTTCTTACAGTGCAGTCACTTTATGCATCCCTTCATTTCCAGAATTGAGAAGAAGAATTTTTTTTTTCATTTTGTGAGGGTTGTATTAAGTTGAGTCATGAAAAAAAAAAAAAAATCTATCCTTGAATGTGACAGACTACAAGGAATATAGCAGCTGAAGGGGAGCATGGAGGGGCTGCAGGTTTATACTGCACTCTGGCTGACAGGATTTGATACGTGCAAGTTTATCCTTGCAGGCGAGACATCTATATCCTATATGTGAGTGTGTGTATGAGTGAGTATGTTTCAGTATCCACTCAATAACCCCATGGCGTTATTTCTTCAGCTAAATCAACCATACAGGGCCAATAACTTTTCTTTTTTTTTGTTTTGTCGATTTCAAACCGAGATCGAAAAAAAGGAGTAAAATTTGATAGTACTTCACAATTATCACCATACTTCTAAGCTGTAATATTCAAAGATTTCCACACAAAACACCAAAAGAAAGACCCCAAAAAATCTGTATAAACATCTTTGCAGATGACACGTTTTACAGCTGATTTTGATCGTTGTGTTATAAAAAAGTTCTGAAATATTTCTGAACTTGTGGGACGTTGAGGGGCACACGTGTTGGTGGTGATGGGACTGAGCGCAGTTAATTACCACCGACAGTACACATACTGCATGCACACTACACACACTGCAATGCACTCACCCCAAAACTTTATTTGTCAGGCAAGACAACGCTCTGAATCACTTTGAAAACTAAGATTATTGACACAGATCATCTCTTTCTGAAAGAATATTGCAATTGTTTTGATCAAGATGAACTGAAAGGGAGGATTGTCGTGGGCCGGATCCAACAATAGGCCCCACAGCCTATTGCCTATCTGTTTGACTTTTTATACATTAGCTCGTTTGCATGGATGGAAGCACCAATGCTTAGCTATTGCCAATATTTACACTCACACACTATCACTCATACACACACACACACGCGCGCGCACACTTCATTTACATCTGTTGTGTTTCGTATTGCGTCTGAAGTGTTTCCTGACACTGCTTGATGGTTTACAAGTTGTCTTATGTGTGCACGGTCAACATCTTCAGCTGAGATCGTCTACGTGTTGGAGAGGATTTGTGACAGCTGCAACAGAAATCTCATATCAAGCAGGATTGGTCGGTTGGAAAAATTAAAGTAGAATCCTTATAACGAGTACTTTTCTTCAACCGCAGTCTTCATTTGTGCAGTTTGGCCATCATTCTTATTTGTTTATTCTCTGAAAACGTTTGGTTTGAACACACCTTTCAGGTAAAATGGACAATAAAGTGTGTGCTTTAAAGAAAAGCCACCTGTGATTGACAATTATCTACAATGTTGGATAAGAGCTGGGTGTACCAACCAACAAAAAACCCAAACTCTGGGTTTTAAAATTGGCAACACATAAAGTGATTGGCGACATTTGTTGGTTTAGTCCATTTTTATATGCCGCCTGTGACAACAACTTCCTTAAAGACATTGCTATGTAACTGTAGGTTGCAGAATCTTAACCCCCAGGGGCAGATTCAGGGGGTGCAGAGGCCCTGAAATCTCATTTGCCATCTCCCATTTCTTAACTTGGGATTGGCTTTGTAGCTTCTTAAGAGGCGAGACTTGTTTTGAAATCAACATTTGAGCTGTGTTGCAAAAGTCAATTAGTACCTTTGTGTTTTACTGTAACACATTTCTTTTTGTTAGGACTTTAAACTGAAACTGTGGACATTTTTTTTAGCTTGGAAAACTAAGCTAAGAAGATTGAATTGTTGCCAATTTGTTGTGTTACTTTTTTAGAGTTTAACTTTTAACTAAGATATTTACAATAATGTTATTAGAGTAGATATGATTAGTGCAAAAGGAAGAAATACAAATGCTGTACATTTGTTTTTTTGTGTGTATGTGTGCACACAAATACTTCAGCCCCCCCTAGGCCTAAGTTAGTTCCTAAATTTGGCCAGCCCATTTCAAAAAGTTGGGCTTTGCAACTGTTTGACTGAACTGTTGCAGCTCAGGATAGTATGTTTTAACTTTTGAGGCTGATATGTCAATCAGTTGACCGAACAGTCCACAGTAAGATATTCGCTGGCTCTACTTTTCCAGCCTGGGTCGTTTTCAATAGTCTGATAACTGATGGGAATGATGGTCAAAACTACAAAAACAAAGCCTTGGAAAACAGATTTTCCTTTGATAATATCTGAATGCGCAACCTTAACCCACACAGGCGGCAAAGAAAGGATTATTATGACGTAGCAGTGGTAACCTCTTGATGAAGTTATGTGTCTTGGCGAGAGCAGTATAGTGGTTAGAAGATGAAGCGATATTAAAAGTGTCCATTATATAGTTTCTAGATGAGTATATCATACATACAAATATACATTCTTAAATAGGAGGCTAGTTACAAACACAAAACACAATATGTACCAATAGTAAAGTCCTTTTGCCTACACTGTGACAATGATATATGAGTTATTGGAACCTTATAAAAAGTAAACAAACTCCGCAAATGATAGCCTGAAATCTTAGGTACCGTTCATAATGCACACATGCATTCATGACTATGTTCAATGCTCGCACTCGTCCTCATGCACACGGCACACACTCGCGCACGTATCCACACTCACGCCTATCGTGAAGGTAATAAATTAAGAGAACTGGGGCTCTTTCATTCACATGGATCCTCCGTCTCAGCGTCTTTGTCTTCATTTTTTTTGTTTTAACAACAGCCACCTGAAAGACAGAGAAAGAGACAGAACACACCTTCAGTTATGACTGTCCAGAAGTCAACACTGTGTGATACAACAGTTATTCAATTATAAGGAAAAAAAAAAACAATGTACACTCTCAAAAGAATGAGAATATCTGAAAAAAAAAATCTAGTAGCTTGTTGAAATGTTTCATATATTTTGTTGATGTTTGTGCACTCAGGAATAGTTTGGATCAATATGTTGAGTGCGTTCATTTTGCAAGGTACATTTGAAATGTGTTGACGGATAGCCACTTGAGATGAATCATCTCGTTTTCGAGGGGGTCCAACACAAAACATACAACACAAGTGACACTTTCAACACATAGAAAGGCTCTTATATACCGACCCAACAGCACATTATTCCCATAATGCCTCTACTCCCACACAATGGAAACAGACATGAGATTTCACATCACATCTTACACTCATAACACTTATAGTATTGACCAAAGTGGAACTAAATGGTAAATGGGCTGGAGCTTGTCTAGCCTTTCTAGTCTTCTGACTACTGAATGAAGATCAACTTCATTAACAAATTAGATTTTGGTCTAATTTGTTAATGAAGTTGACCTTCATACTACTAGAGTTGCTGGAGCTTTTTCACCCTCTAGTCTTTCACTCTTCATGCACCTTGGTAGTTGGTGTAGTTGTGCAAATGCAACTCTGCTTCTACAGGGTGATTTAGGAAAACATAATGAGTTTTTAAAGACATGAAACAAGCTAATCTTTTGTTATAGGTTAAGGTGGATGAAAATTCTTTATTTCCTCTTTATGTCTAGATTCAAAGAGGGAGAGGGTGAAGGTATTTGTCAAATTCTTGAGATGTTACAAGGAAAAGTAAGTTCTGGCTCATTAAAAAGTGTAGATTTCTTTTTCTATTCAACCTGCTACTTCAGACTGCAGCTGACAGCATATAGAGGAATATCAATGTTATTTATAGAGCATATTTCTTTACATGGAAGCTCAATGGGCTTTACATTGACGGTAAAAACTGGATTACAAGTATTCAAAGTCAAGATATATAAATGTGCTTATGTTGAGTACCTCTTCATTTAGACATGCTTTGTCTGTTTAAAAAATGTTTCGCTTTACGACTGTTTTCTGACCCAGGACCAGCAGAAACTCAGACTGCTTTACAGACTGGTACACATTGTGTGCTGTCTCTTCAGTCGATTTGATGTTCTTCTTATCCATCCACAGACCACTTTGTTGGATGCAAATGTGGGACTTGTAGTTTTTAATTAAAAAAACTAGAGAAATCAAATCATTGAAGCGTCTAAGTTTTTTTTTTATCAGTTCAAGTGTGTGTGTGTGAAATAGATATACATAAGCATAATAATATTTATCATATAACCGGTGCACCACCCTGATATATGCAGCCTCTGGCAGGCCACAGACAAATGAACAAGGGCTTCATCCGGCCTGCCGTATGCCACGTCATGAACTTCACATGAGGATAGAATACTATTAGAAATACGTTGCCTCTTGGACTACACAGCGTTTTGTGTTACAGTTCTATTACTTGATCGGTGTCTTTCCACATTTGACAGAACCAGGCTAGCTGTTCCCCCTGCTGATAGTCTTCATGCTAACAAGTCTGAGACTGCAGCTCAGCGCTGCACACACTGATAACCTCTCTACTCGACTGGAAGAAATACATTCCCCCCCCGAAGATTCAACTTCTCTGTTAGAAGGCTGGTTCATCTAAAGTGTAAAAAATAATCTTTCATATTCAGCTGACCTTCATTGCGTATTGAGGCAGAGATCTGAAATATACTGAACCCCCCCCCCCCCACCTCCACACACTATCTGTATGGATGACTCCTCTCTACAAAATTCTACAAAATGAATTTTCATTTAATCTGATCCATCATGTCAACCTTTGGCAGTTCAGTGTCAAACTGAAATCACAGTTACAGTAGAGTAAGGCTGACTGCACCATGCAGCGTCAAAAGAACCATTTGGAAACTTTGGGAAACATTTTAAGGGTCAACCATGGGGGGGGGGGACACTGAGGAGATGAAAACAAAGACAGAATGGAGGACTGAAGGATGAGGGTGGGGGGGGATGAAGAGGAGGAAGCGGAAGATGACCAAGAGGGAGTAGAGGATGAAGAGGAGGAGAAGGAGGGAGTAGAAGATGAAAGGAAAGGACTGGAGGATGCTGAGCAAGAGGGAGCATAGGATTGGGGAGGTGGAGAGAGTACAAGACAAGTAGGAGGAGAGGATGAAGAGGAAGAGGGAACAGGGGAGCATGAGGAGGAGAGAGCAGAGAAAGAGGAGGAGGAGTAAAGGATGAAGAAGAGGAGGAGGAGGAGGGGGGGGCTGTGGACTGATAAATAATTTATAGCCTCTTTTAGGTCCCTTTCTACCCCGACTTTCCTCCACTGTCTCTCATATTCTCTCAATAATGTTCCCTCTCTCTCTCTCTCCCTCTCACTCACTTTCTGTCGTTCGCCCAGCCTTTGCTAGTCAGTTCCCCGTGGGAACAGCTTCTATACACCAGGAATCTTAAACACTGGATGAGTCTCGTTTATCTGCTGCTGCTGCTGCTGTAGCTTCCTCATACCGCTCATATACGTGTCCGTGTTTATGCATCTACATGGGATCTGTGGCAGGAAGTGTATGCATGCATATACATGTTAATGACTCTTTTTTATCCCCCTGCAGGTGTGATGAGAAACCTGCACGAGGCCTCTTACTGAGCAGCCTTATGAAACACAGATTTATTTCGAAAAGATGCATCACAATGGTATGATCCATTTTCTGGGTGGTCTTATTTTAGGCCTTTATTTTAGAGACAGGACAGTGGAGAGAGTCGGAAATCCAGGAAAGAGAGAGAGACTATTTAAGACAATCTTCCTCTCCTCTTTTCTTCCTCATGATTGATTTTTTTCTCATCAAACAAACGATGGGTTATTTATAGAATATCGTTCTTTAGTGTTATCACAGAGTTTGTACTGAAGCCCTTAGTGGACATATTTCAGTGCATATTATTACACTCAGTTTCCTCTTGATAATGAGTACAATTCTGACATCTCCACATACTCATCTCGGGGTTAACTAACGCTGGTGTTTACGTAATAACTAGTTCATTTCTCCAGATCTCGAGAAAATGGCTGAAATCATCGTCAGCGCGGGAAAGACAGAGTTGAGATCGAGAGAAAACAACAGAAATGTTCTCGTTATAAAGAAAGATAATTAAAAGATATTGATGCATGTGTCCGCTTAGGGCTTCCGTAGATATGGCTCTATAATGTTATATATACATATGAACAGTAATTAAAATGATTCCTTTTGCAGTCGAGTGATACATAATCAAGTGTCAACACTTTCTTAATTGGTACCAGTTTCTATGTGTGGTTGCACATGCAGCAGGCTTCTGGCTTCAGTAGACTGTTGTTTGTGTAATCCCGGTTAATTTATGTTAAAACATACGCCCAAGCATCATTTACAAAGCTTACGTAGAATGTATGTTGTATGGATCTTATTTATAGAACTCATTTGAAGATACTTACATACATTAAACCACGATCAGATTAAACACACGCAGAGCCGACAGCTGAACATTTATCTGACAAGCTCGAGGGTTTGTCCAAGAAGGTCGTCGTTAGAGTGCAGTTTCTTCAAACGTGTGTTTCAGCTATATTTGTTCAAGATGACATAAAAGAAGGTAAATGTTACAGTTTATTTGGAATAGTTTAATTAATACATGAATAAAGATCACCCTTTTCTGCTCTCTTTGTGTCTCTGCCCATTAGTAGTGTCAGTCCCCTCAGACTCTTTGTCTAACTTCAGTATGGTTCAGAAATGCATACAAAAAAAGCTCTCATACATTTGCATTAAAAGCTTTAAATTGTCAGTGTCTCAGTCAAAGTGTCATCTATAATGTAAGACTTGTCACAAGTAAAAATAAGACTTACGACCTGCGACGACCTTGACTAAAAACTAAAACATATTTAAGACTTTTTTAGGCTCTGCAGGAAATCTGGAATGATTAAGATTTAATTTCTACCACCCCATAGACTCATCAGAGCACAAAGGACAAAGATGAAAACTGCTTCCTCCACTCAGACAAATGTATGGCCGTTGCATGTGCGGGTGAGCACAGCCTTTAAACACAGTTCACATTTGTCTGAAAGCTGCACACCCAGTCCAAAAATCAAGCTGAAGTATGTATTAGTTTGTCCATAACCATAACCACAGAGTGAGACGTGTGTTGGAAATGAGCAGCAAACGGCTCTGTGCAGATGGACAGACTGACTGCAGACTTGTTGTGGAAACAGTTTGCACCAAAGGCTCATCTGTCAAGGTCAGGTGTGTGTGTGTGTGTGTGTGTGTGTGTGTGTTCTTGAAGAGATACACTAACTGAGCAATGAATGAACGTCATCATTTGCCTCTTCACTGTCACACACTCTGTAATCCAACAAGGCATTCATTGTTTTAAAGAGATCTGTTGTACTAAGAACAGATGTAGGCTTCCGGCTTGGGATCAAAGAGCACCAAGTAGGTGTGCGTGTGTGTGTGTGTGTGTGTGTGTGTGTGTGTGTGTGTGTGTGTGTTATGGGGTTCCACTTTGGAAGCAGATGGAGCTGGTGGGTGGGTTTTGTAGGGAGGATTTAGCAGGCGTGGCCAGCTGCTGGCTGTCCTTTAATAGCGACTGTTTCACCCTCCCCCCAGAAATGAAATCCTTAAAATACTCTGTTTGGACCAAACAGACACCTAACAATAGCAAGAGGGAGAAATGGAGAGGAGGAGGGAGGAGGGGGACAGAGAGAAACAAGAAGACAAAAAGGTACACCCATTCGCGTATTTGAAGCCGACATTAGATGGCGATAGTTTGGATTCACTGAAAATCTTTTTATATATCTGATATTCTCCTGAATATTTGTTTCATGGCATGCTCTCAAAACTAAATGTATACAATCAATGTATTGCCCAGCTGTCGTATTTATGCAACAGTTTTACGGTGTTTTCACACA